TTCATTATTTTATTAGAAAATTTTATATGGAATATGATATCAAATTTTTTTGAAATTTTACATCCAAAAAAGTCATATGCCGTATAAATTTTCGAATGCAAAATTATATGGGGATGATTTTTTTGGACCTAAATTTTCGATTGTAAAATTTCTCTCAACTTCTTTACAAGTTCAATTGTGCTCCTAACTTTAAACATCTGCATTTGCCCCTATGGACAGGGTATCCGGTCAATCCACTGAGCTTTACATTGCAATTAAAAAAAAAAGATCAGATTGGAAACTGTAAAGTGGTGTTACTGCTCCCATTTCTTGCAGCAAATTATTAAATTTGCATTCAAAATTGCTATACTATCAGGAGGGTGTATAACAGCACACCCACGATAGGAGAACATTTTTTATTCATGTGGATCTTATGCTCACGTGAGTGTATGTCAATCAAGATAACAAATATTTTTGACAAATTATGATAAAAGAGCTTAATTCTTTTGCATTAGATACTGCAAAAATAATTACGACTGACAACGGAGAACCGACACTAAGTTTCACTAGTTACCTTTCTTCTTAGCACAAAAAGGGACACCGTGCGGCAGTAGTCTGCTCCGTTAGATTACCTTCCGCCTTTTCTCGGTCGTTTCGGGATGAAAGTAAATTTGATCTCAATTTAAAGAAAGCTTACAACATGAAATTGAAATGCATTGAAATAAACTTGATCATTGATTGCTTGAAAGCTGAACATTACAATAAACGAAAGTAGGAAATTACAATGGCTAGTGCAGGGGGCGAACACTAAAAATGTTGAAAGATGTTTGAAAGACTAATACCCCATATAATAGACTTAGCAACAAAAACTCATATGACAGGACTAGACGTTGAAAAGCCGAGGAATCATACTAAACTTTTCTAATTATCAACTATTTTACAATTAAATGAAATATTTACAATGTGCCGTCGAAGTTGGACAAACTGCGGTTGCGATAGGGTCACGGGGATTAAGTAAAGCTGCAGTCCGTGACATTCTCTCCCATTTGTTTTGGCTACATCCTCGGAGCCCTTAATGAATGATATGCTTGATGGTTTGAAGGCTTCGAGGTCTTTTCCATTTGCCCAGTTCTTCTCTTCGCTGTTGCATCTGCTCCATTTGACCAAGTACTCTTGAAGGTAGTTCCTAGAAGATCGAGTAGTTAGATGGCTAAGAGTCTCTTTAGTATGAGGGAGTAACGGTTGCTGGCTAGTAGAAATCTCGAAGGAACTTTTATTGGAAGAAGAGCTCTTTTGAGCATTGAAACACATCTGAGCTGCATCCAGGAGTTTTACCCAACTTTTTTGCGAAGTAAAGATAAAGTGCCGAAAATAGTCTTCCAGCATAGCATTGAAACATTCCATCTGTCCCCCAATTTGTGGACAAAAACTCAAACACATGCTCAAAGTTGAACCAAGAAGTTTGAACAACTCGATCCAAAGTATGTCGGTAAACCGAGAATCTCGATCGTTGACGATGTTCTTAGGCAGTCCCCAGTATTTAGCAATATGTTTGAAGAAGAGTTGAGCTGTCTCTTCAGCTGATACATACTTGGACGCTGTGGTGAAAGTTGTCGCTTTAGGTAAGCCGTCCATCACGGCGATGATAGTGCCAAAGTCTCCAACTTTTGGCAATCCACTAGTGTAGTCCATCGACACACTCTTGAATGATCCGTTTGGGACGGAAAGGGGCTCAAGTAAGCCTGCCTTTTTCTGATGATCCATCATATCTTGCGGACAACCAAAACAAGTTTTCACATAACTTGAATTGTCGTCCCGCCTTTGAGGCCAGTAGTATGCACGTTGTAGTAATGCGGAAGTACGCTCCACAGTAGTCTCACTTCCCAACATTTTTCCCAACGGTTTCCGAGGCTCTTCAAGCTCCGACTGAGACATACAGTACGGTGCCCTGGTTGGAGGTGTGGCACCCGAAACTAGTTCAATCTTATGATCAATTGCCCTCATCGGTGGCAATTTCTTTGGTAACTCATTCGGCTTGATGTCCTCAAATTCCTTAACAGGCCTTCCGACAGGTTTTGGAATTGGACCAGTCATCTCTTCAATCTCTTCTAATTGAAGAATGCACAAAAATGAGGGTTCATTCCTCTTAAAACTCTTACTATATTGCATGGCCGAGATACCCTTCTCGCCTGCCTTTACAACTTGTGTGGGGATAATGAATGGTTTTCTCCCCATCATTACTAATGAGTCAGAATGCGGCAACACTGCTGTTCTCGTGTCCCGAAGAAATTCCAATCCCAAAATAAGCTTGAAATCATCCATCTGAGCTGCTGACAAATTCGTCCTTCCCTCGAAGTGACCTACTTTGATCAACACAGATTTCGCTACTCCCGCTATCGATTGAGCATCGGAGTTGATTGCTTTGACTTTTCCCTTACCTCTTTCTAGAGCAAGTCCGAGCCACTCTACTTCGGTGCTTGCAACATAGTTGTGGGTAGCACCGATATCTATCATAGCCCTTATTGGTTTTCCATTGATCTTCACATCAATGTACATCAAGCCTTTCGCCCTACAAGTGCGAGCCTTCGATTCCTCCATCTTCGACTCTTTCAAGGGACCATAGTCCCTTTTCGTAACTCGATGCAATAGTGTATTGCACCGATGTGAAAATGCACCAACTACATCCTCATCCTCTTCAGAGTTGGTCTCGCCATGATAGCTAACTTGTGGGGTACCTTACTTTGATTTGGTCCCGCCACTTGCTAGTTGGAAATATGCATTCACCATCTGTTTATGAAGATACTCCGCCACCCGATGTGGTCCTTCACATAAAAAGCATTTCAATTTAGGACTGGCATCAAATCTGTCCTCCTTTGCTTTTCCTTGGTTCCAATTGTTATTCTGACGGTTGCCTTGATAGGCTCCTCCCCCATTCTAAGCGTAACGCTCTCCCCCATTTGAGCTCGACCTAGGTCTATGAGGTCTATTTCCACCTCCGACTATTTCCCGAATACCGATCCTCTCTCTATTCTGGTTGATAGTCACTCAAACAAAGGGCAGCTCCCATAGCTGCCCTTAAATTAGTGACCTTCTGTCTCTAAAGTTCCGTACGTGCCCACGATTCCAACCCTTCCATGAAGGTAAATAGCTTGTCCCTTTCCGACATATCTCGAATATTCAGCATATACCCGAAAAAGGCTTTCACATACTCCCTGATGGAGCTTGTATGTTTCATTCTCGCAGCGCACGTCGTGTCTGGTAATCCACATTCTCTGGGAAAAATTGAGATCCGATTGCTTCCTTGAGGAGATCTCAAAAATCTATTCGGACTTTGTTAGCTTGAATATCAGCATACTTCGTCCACCATCATAGTTTTGCATCTCCACCTAGATACATGGTAGCTGTAGTAACCTTTCTCGCTTCGTCTTGAATCGAAGCCGCAAGAAAGTATTGTTCCATATAGAACAAGAAGTTATCAACTTCTTTACCATCGCATGCCCCTCCGTAGGTACACGGTTCTAGAATTCCGAGCCTATGCATAGACTCTTGCACGGCGGCTTGCCCATTGCCAAACGCGAGTTGAAAAATTACTAGTTGAGCTCTCAACGTCCCCACTTCCTCCTACAGATCAGGTATGCTAGAAACAGCTTCAGTTATAGCTGCGCAAGCTTCTTGGCATTCATCCAGTTAGATGCGTACTTCCCGAGTTTCCGTCTCTACAACTTCGACCTTTTCTCTGAGGCCCTCCTAGTGTTTGTCACCTCCAGCGCCTCCAAACGCTGTTTCGTATTCCTCTTTTGAGGATCTACCACCTCCGTGGTGTTCGATTCCATTGCATCCATAGCTTTCTTATCGAGGGTCTTGAGCCGCAGCTCTGATACCAACTTTCACGGGTTACTTTCTTCTTAGCACATAAAGGGATATCGTACGGCAGTAGTCTACTCCGCTAGACTATCTTCGGGCCTTTTTTCGGTCGTTTCGAGACGAAAGTAAATTTGATCACAATTTAAAAAAAGCTTACAACATGAAATTGAAATATATTGAAATGAATTTGATCATTGATTGCTTGAAAGCTGAACATTACAATAAACAAAAGCAAAAAATTACAATGACTAGTGCAGGAGGCGAGCACTAGAAAGCTTGAAAGATGTTTGAAATACTAATACCCCCTATAATAGATTTAGCAACAAAAACCCATGTGACGGGGAGTAAACGTTGAAAAGCCGAGAAATCATACTAAACTTTTCTAATTATCAACTGTTTTACAATTAAATGAAATATTTACAATGTGCGGTCAAAGTTGGACAAACTGCGACTGTGATAGGGTCACGGGCTTTAGTAAAGCTGCAGTCCGTGACAATGAACCAAGTAGGATGGTGAGCGAGAGCTCAAGGAGACAAGTCACGTTGGATGAGATTAATATTTTTCGCTTCCATTACACATTTATTTATTTTTTTATTATGTTATATTATTTAAATTATGTTAAATAATTCAGTTCATCAAGTTTTTGGCACACAATAGACGGTTGAGATCATCCTTAAATTCATGAGATTTCTGAAAAGGCTGGCTAAAAACATGCCATTTCGGGGACAGAGTGCGCTCCTAACCTAATTTAACCCACCACAGTTGAGTACAAATTTCTGCAACATGTACAACACGTCTCTCTGGCAACTATTTGTAAAATAAATTTTTGTGCTGCAAGTCAAGTCGCCATTTACGTGCAATTTATTCACTACAAAGTCGATCAGCATCAATCCATCAGTAAGTGAAAGTCCCATATTATAGACTCTTCTGTGTCATGAATCACGTCAGCTGTCTTCCTCTGTCGTAAGGCAAGGATGGATTCATAACCTCCATAGTCCATAATATGTTGAGACAAAGGCTTTGCTTCATGTTTGTGTGAATCACTTTGGTGAATCCATCACCCATTCTTCATTCATATCGACTACAACAACAATAGATCTTCATGGACGATACCAATCATGAAATTTAATGACAAAAGACCACCCCTTGATAATCTTTCACCGGGGCGAGTCGGGATGATTTTGCCCAAGATGATTCATACCATTGGAGGATGCAGTACTAGGTCCACTCTCAGCTATCTGTAAAGCATTTTCGAGCAAAAAAAACATATATTAATCACATTCATTTTGGAACTCAACAGTAGCAAAAGTTCAAGTTGGGTCAAGAAATAGTTGGCGAAAGACTTGAAAGAGATTCCTGGCGATAAATTCCTACCTTTTTAGTTATACTAGAGATAGAACATAGAAAGAACAAGATAATATATTATGCAGCAAAACCTTGAATCCCGGAGCAGAATAGGACCAAAAGTGCAGGAAATCACAAAGATATGCCGATGATGAGAAGCTACTGCATAACACACTAACAGGGTAGTATAATAGAAATCAGCGAATGGTTGTCTGCAGACTTATCAGGAAGTGCAGTTCACAGAGAAGCAAAGAGAATAGACTAAGAGCACACAAACTCATTCATTAGTTACTAGTTATGCAAGGACAACATTGTCTCTACGAAGTTTTACTGAACCTGGACATCTAAAAATATTGTATGCCTAAATAACATGAATAATTCGATGAACCCAAAATAGAAATGTTTTAAGGGAAGCTGAATGCACACAAGAGTACTTGGATAATGGTAGGGAACTAGGGGCTGATCTACCAAATTCATAACTCTAAAACAGGAATAATGAAAGCAGAGACGAGACAGCAGCATAGAACATGAAACAACTCATTCCATATTTCCCTGTTTTGACTCTAGAATCTGGTGCTTTCATATTCCAAGAAAAAAATGGCTTAACCCCGAACAATCACTACTCAGAATATTTCCACAAAACCTTATCCAAACATCACGTATTTTTGAACAAATAAATCAAATCAACCATGAGGGACATTGTCAAAATTCACACCTCCGTAGGATTTTGATTTGGAAATCCATTATTCTCTGGCCGTTCATCTGGCACAGGATTGACACTGTCCCAGAGAAACCCATTTTCTCTCTGTACAGCGAGTCTATCCAAATCATTATCCACAGCTCTAGAATGAAGTGCAACGTAAGATATGTACTTATCTGCAACATCACCATTGAAAAGAAAAAATAGCGTCAATATCTCAGCAAATGCATGAAGCAACTAATAATGCATAACTAAGAGTAAGATCATCGTCTTCAATAAATGGCTTGTAAATCAGAGCTAGTAAAAATGCTAATTATGATGAAGTCAAAAATACTGGAGAAAATGACTAGCATCAATAGCTTGTGCATATGTATAGTGGGACATGCCCTAGAAAAAAGCTCTTGCCCAATTTGTTAGAAAATATAAAGGGATAGTATAGATGAAACCAGCATAATAGCACTGGGTCACACTCGATATGTAGAAAATTTTAAGAAGTGGAATCAATAAGATCAAGCATACATTTCGGCAAATAGTTCCAGATAATTGGCACATTTACACAGTTTTGCCCGTCTGTCATGGAAATTGAAATATTCACATAGATCACAATGCATATACATGAATAACTGCTGCTGATAAAGTGAAGTATGTACAATCTTCATTACAACAATATAGGAGAGTACAACCTAAAAGTGATCTTACCAGCTAAGCCACGAAGGGCATTCTCAGCAGCCTGTTGCTGGGCATCCTTCCTCGTCCTGCCCATCCCAACACTGATTTTTTCACCAGTAAAGAAAACCTACACGTTGATTCAGCACATTGAGCACATCTAATTAATTTAGTTCACAAAACATTGGACAGTATCGGATGGTGAGAGACCGTCAAGCATTGCAGGACGCTAAGCAGCATTACAATCATTTAACAGATAAAAGAATTCTACAGACTAACCCACTTGGGCTATTTAAGTCGAAAAGGACAGTAAAAGATCAATTTAACATTGTCTGGTAAAAGACATAAATCAATTACAAAGAGCACATCTGGTCTTAGCAATTAATTATTGCAATAATCACCTGTAGTCCCACAGAATTTAAAATTGAAGAATTGCACAGCAATGCAATTCCAAAGGAGACTGCACTTACTTGCCCAAGTTGAGTGTCCAATGTAAGTGAGAAACTGTAAAAGAGTCTTGCACATGTTTAGAGGTGCTAGAAACTGGCTAGCCAATATAGGTCTACTGGAAATCAGCCCAAGTGGGCTTGTTAAGCCTCTCACACCAACAGGCAAGTTAGGATTTGATTGTTACAGATTGTATAAGACCAACATACATGGGATTCTATTTGACGTCATGAAACAATCAGGGTAAACATATACATGGTGACAAAAACAGTGGTAAGTCAACAGATTCTCTGTGCAAGAAAGATGAGGCCATGGTTAACATTTGACGAGGGTGCCACGAATTTAAAGCAGGAGTAATTATAGGTAACACTCCACCCACCACCACCATCACACACACACAAAAAGAAAAAAGAAAAATAGTGTCCCAAATAGAAAGAAATTAAAGACGCAAATATGAGGTATCAAACTGAGACAAGAGTAGCCATTTGGTGAAATGGAGATGTTCTTTGTGGTTGTTAAATCTCAACGAGCTCCTTGGCATGGGCATGACATTCTATCGTCTCAGGTAAACCAGGATATAATTGTGTAATTACAAGTCTTCAGCAGAAAAAAACTTTAAATTTTAAACTTCCTGAAGGCTGCTGAACCTTTAGTCCCCCAATTCTAGAATACAGAGAGTTTCCATTTAACCTTCTTCTCACATTAATTGGAGTGATTCGTAAACTAATAGGAGTAATATAGGAGCGCCTTCTGGGGGTGACTTTCCAATAACAATTTTTTGATATTTTATCAAGGCAAATCACTTATTCAAATCTTTGAGATCTTGAAATAATTATTAGACTTTCCAGATAACATCTCAAAATAGTAATTTATCCACAAGATACATGATTCTCAAAACAGCAACAGTTGCAAAGAGGATCCAGACATTATATGCAAGGGGATAGACTAATTTCCATTAGGAAATGTCAAATCAACCAGCAAAACTATAGTGAAATCACAAGAATGTCAATTTCAATTAAGCGTGTCTACAATTGTTATCACAAGGTACCTACAACTACTAGTAGGTATTTCCATTATCTTATGGGATATTTCAAACACTAACAAATATATAGATCACATACAAGGGAACAGTCACCAGATCGGAATATTCCATGTAAATGTGCTACAATGCATATACATGAAGAATCAACACCAATGTTTTAACCACAAGCAACAAAACACCTAAGAAGCTCTGCTGCTAAAGCCCGTATCTGCTGTGTCATAATCATTTTGAACAGAGAAAATCCAATATGTAAAAGTTTAATATACTAACCTCTACTGAGAACTGCAAATCATTACTGGTGCTTGCCACCGGCTTAAATTCAACCTGAGCAAGAAGACACATTATGATGACATCTGGAAAGGAATAAATGCTACTTGACATTGTTTCTTGCTAGTAACATATACCTTTGATCTGCATCTTTTTCCAATCTCCTGCAGCACACCAATAGACAACGAAGGCAACACATTCATTTTTTCACTTTCAGGTTTAAGCTCTCTATTATTGGAGGAGACTTGATTTTGAGAAACACCAAACTCTAACAAGAAGAGAAACCAGTATCACATTTAGAGAAGATAAATGACAGTGTCTTCACGTTGCAAATCCCTTATTGACATATATAGAAGAACTATTTGAGGAGAAAAACATCAAATCCAAGGGTTCAAGTGGTATATCAGCAATAGTGCCACAAAATGATTACCCAATGCACCAAAATGAAACATAAATTCATGGGAAAAGAACTTCAAACTTTTTTGTTTTTTCTACTATCAGTACGCCATCACCATATATGAAGTTGTAGATAGCAACATTGGCATGTTGAATATGGATTTGCACAATAAAATTGACTGCCTTCTTTGTTATTCAATGAATCAATTTGATGTGGTACATCCACCACTATACAATGGCTTAGTACCACATTTATTAATAGAAAGAGATGCATAGTTATTCTTTTATTCTCTCTCTTTTTTTAAATTTCTTATATATTCCTTTAGATGGAAGGGCAATCCAATAGGTATGTTTATAATTGGCTAAACCTCATGCAACAAACGGCAGAAATTATTAAATGAACCTTGGAGGACAATATTCCAAAACAACAGGGAATAACTACTCTTAATCAGATAGCAATATTTATCCAGAAATCTCATTAACTTGACTATGAAGTAGTTGATCATTTCCTACACAATAAAGATACACGTCTATCCACTTTCTAAGTCATATACATAATAAATTTCCTTAAGATAAAAAATCTATCTTCTTCTATCAATGAAAATGAACAAATTCAATTTAGCTAATAAACAAGAGCGCACACATTTTTTTCAGCGAGTGAAAAGAAGAAAAATCATTTTTGAAAGGACGTAAGAATAATAAAGGAAAACAAAGTTCGAGAACTGTGGCCACAGACTTGCACAAACATATAAATGTACAACAAAGTGTGCAAATACATTATCATCAAAGAGAATGATACAAATCATCCATGGTCCCAAACCCGTTAGAAGATAGCAATCAAAAATCAAGTATGCAAGAAATGAAACAATAATTAGTTCAACTTGATTCGTCAGCACAATAATGTCGAGTCAACTAGCCAATCATGTAAGCCTCCAAACTAAGGGTCAATTCATAGGTCAACTGTTAGCAAAAGTTTCGTGTGCATTATATGTGAATAATCTTTTCTTGTGCCTTCTCATCCTGTGTACAGTTGTGACAGTGGACAATAGTGAGAAAGCAAAAATCCACTTTTATAACATGACCTGCATTCATTAACATCCATAGAGGCAATAGAATACAATTGTACTTCATACACATTAGCATGACTGTAATGCTATCTCCCAATTCAAATTTCCCTTTTCTATTCAGAGATGTTGGGTAACAATTATAACTACTTCCCTTCAATTGGTAGAATTACAACTAAAAGGTATCCAAAAATTTAACGAAACAAGTCCAAGACATAACAAGATAACATAGCAATACCAACACAAAATTCAAGTACCTGCAAACTGATTTGCCAGTGGAGGATTCTGTTTCTGTGCATCATGCCCTGAGTTAACCTGCATATAGATGAAATTCAACCCTGTAAAAAAAGTATGCAAAGAAGGAAAAGCTGATTTCAAAACAAAATTTAAAGGCAAACAGTGCTTTGGCTACCTCTTCCTTCTTCACTTGGGGCATGTGTGAAAACACTCCTGACAGATTAGAAGGCGGTGTACCATGAGTAAATGAATTCTGACGACCTCGCTGTTTATCCGATGGATCAGATTCTGAAAGATTTCCTGCTGATCGATTGAAATGTTCTCTATTTGTGTCTTCTTCTAACCAGCCACCCTGTGGTTGTAATAATGGTGCAGGTTGCTGTCGAGGCAATCTAGTAAATAGAGAAGGTTCCGTCGAACTTAGATGCCTGTTTTCTCTTCTAAATGGATCTCCAAGCAAACTAGGTTCTACAGTGCATTGGGAGAAACAAAAAAAAAAAAGAACAAAAAACATCTCATCACTAATGTATGTTACTTTATAAAATCAAAGACAGCTACAATGTCCAATGAAACAAGAACAAAAAACTAATGAGATTTTAATAAACTGAAAAGCGTGGTGTTCATCACCATCTGTTCAATTTTCAAAATCAAAACATTTCTGAAATAAGATCCATACTTTCAGAAAGTAATACTGTTTTTGAAGATGGTGGAACAATAACACTTGCAACGGATACTACAGGAAGCTTAGCACTTTCAGATTTCATCTCTTCATTATTAGTTACGGGATGAGAAACAGCATTCGAATCATTCTTCTCCTCCTGAAAAACATAATATGAAAATGTGGATAAATGAAGCAAAAAACTCATTGAATGAAGACGACATTCTACTTCATGTTTTTTCAAGTGGATCAGAAGAACGCAAATATATGAAATACCATCAACTGGTACAAGAAACTACCATGTAGTTCAATCTCTGGGCAACTTCAGGGCCATTCATTCCCTCAATAATTGGAACGTTCAGATTTCCATTCGGTAAAAAACTAGACTCCTGAGAACGAATACATTAGGACATTATTATCATAGTTCACAAAAATATTTAGAGACAAAAGTTCAATCTGAATACCTCTGGCATCAAGTAGTTGCTCACATCTGGTGGTGAAGGCAAATTCACAACCTCGTCTTCATAGAAAACATCACATATTCTCCGAAGTAGATTTTCATCAAACTCTCTGGTTGTGTTGAGGAGAAAAAGAGTATGTTATTCAGAGCACTCATCCAGAAGAATGTTACTTAAATGTACGATGACATTTATCTATATTTTATATTCACTAAGTGCTTCAATAAATCAGAAGAACTTGACTAACTTGAAAAAACCGCCCCTGACGTTGCATGCAACATTTCTTGCCACACAAAGGACTGGAACAGCAATTGCAGTCTGATCAAGAAAATGTTTATCAATACCAGTTCTGGTAAAGGTGATGAGCGATTGAAACCATGTTACAAAAATAAAACATAATACCTCTGCCTGAGGAGAAAAATATGGAGTAAATGCAGGTACGACATGAACACGAGGCTGATCCTTCTCTTCCCACACCTTCAAACGATCATCAATTACCATTGCCATTTTAGGATGACAATTTCCACCTTGGAAGACATTGAGTAAAGATTTTCTTGCCCCTAATAATATTAAAATGATTAAAAGAAATAAGAGTTTCATTTGATTATTTTACTAGAAAGGTATAAAGATAAGAAAATAGAAGAATGAGATCATTCTGTATGAACCAAAAAGCAACCATGCCCTGTTCATGTATCTGATAGAATATTAGAGAAAAGTGATAAAATATCGTGACCTCATTTGTACAAAATTACAAAAATTAGAAGAAGAACATTTTTTGTATCTCCAACATGCTCTAAATAATTCCCATAAGCTAAGGCAGCTAAAAGGAAAAGCCCTCTCATAAAAATATGGTCCTCACCTGATTTGACACAAACAACACGGTCCAGTAGTTGCTTTGAACTAATTAAGCGTGCTTCTGGATCAAGCAGCCTCCACATTTCCAGTGCATAATCCCTTTCAGCCATTGTACAAACATAAACTTCAAACCTTTTCCGACCTTTTGCAGTCAAATAACTTCTCAAATCTTCCCAAGCAGGTCGTAACCTGACTAACACACTAGTATCACGATTCTGCAGAGAAGAGCAACCATTTTAAGAGCAGAGACTGATATCAAGCCAACGATGAAGAGAATTACATAGATGATACAAATCATTACGATAATTTAGTAACGGTGAATCATAACTAAAACCCCAAGGAAATTTTAGTAGGGTTCAATTCATACATATAGTCTTCCAGAGTTCTGTGTAAATCATTAATAACATAGATAATTATGTGTTTGATTGAAAGAAACTAGTTGTTTTACTCTGCAGAACCAGAAACCAATCTATGACTATGCAAAAATAGGAAAAGTAGATGTTATAGCAGCACCAAAATGAACAAGACAACTTATGCAAGAATTGGAAGATAGCATGGATATAAGACTTCTCTTTGTCTTGATTCCAAAGATGAAATGCAAAACCTGCATCCTAAATTAGAACCCTCCAGACTTCGGCTCATGAAAAATTGTCCTCCTGAGGATTACAAAGAGTAAAAGGGCGTTGACTATTGGCAATTCTTTCCTTCTTTTCTTAGCCATGTCTTTGATAACCTTTTTCACAAAATATAGCATGGGGGTGCTCTCTAATTCATCTTTCATTTCCAATCATCAAATTTAAGTTCGTGTTTTACTAGGGATAATATCAATCAGAAATTAAAGTTCCTAATTTCCAAGATCAAAAAATAATGGTAAGAGAAAAATTGATTACACAAGCAGATGGCATCAACAGCATATCCTAACCTCGGGATTAATGCGAGTAAGAACAGCATTTTGTTCTGGCAATCTTATGACAGGCCGAAATACCCGCTCGTGCCCTTCAGAGAGCTGAGGCACCTCCTCTTGCTGAACATTATACACTTTCCCACCATCCACAACACAATCAGTCTCTGCATACTGCTTCAGTAATAGCCGATCTTCAATGAATCTCTTCATTTGAGCTACCATTCCAGATTCCCGAACCGGATCAGTCTCACGTTCAATCCAATCCCGCAGAGACTCAATTCTATCTTCAAATGATTTCATTGTATTGGCAACAATGAGAGTTTCATCAAGATCAAACACAATCGCTAAACAGCGTGTATTTAACATCCATAAGCATGCACTATACAAACCACTTGGCACTGAGTAGCACCAAAAACATGGGAATTTCTTCTGCTTACTAGGCATTGCCACTAAATGAACCTCCTCATTCCCTAGTAACACCACTGCAGTCTACAGAAAATTACAATATTGTCAGTTCAACAGAATAAATTATCTGAATAGATGTGCATAAATGACATATGATGCCAAATTAAAGTTACTGCATGCACTTTATCTAGTGTCGGGAACGCTTCACATTAATAGAAGCAATAATTCACAATTGGACATATGTGTTAATTGAATCAACTACTAAGCTAAGTATCACTCCTATGAGTGAATTGCAACGAATTTAGCCACAACCAATTAAGATTTACGATCATCCATTCATACACGTATCACATATCCACAAGATGCAGAGTATCTGAGTATCTATAAAACTATAAGAAATTTGTTGTGCGACCTTGAGTTCGTAGAAGCAAGACGCGTGGAGATTGATCAAATGCTCAGGATTCGGATTGGTATTTGTATTAGAATTGGGCTCGAGCTTGCAACGAACTGAAGCAGAAGAAATTGTTTGTAGAACCGAGAGAGGGTGACATCTCTCACTTTTGGGGGAGATTGTATGGATACGTATCTCATTGTTCGGGAACTGAAAATTCCCATCCTTCACTGGAACAGTATCCAGCTCTCCCAAATACACATCACCATGGTACACCAACGTTTTAAACCCTAAACGATTCATAAATAGTAATAAACACTCCAAAATTCACAAAATCAAGAATAATTCGTTCAAATTCTGCAAATGTGAAATCAAATAGGAGAATTTATTTCGCAATTTTTGAGATTAAAAAAAGAAAAGAAAAATTCAATCTCGCTCTGCATGAATTTTTCTCACACTTTCTCACTCTACTTAATTTCTCTCTCCAAAGAAACCTCTCTCTCCCTCCTGAGGCAGCGGTTTCAAATGGGGTGGGGTTACATTATATAGAAGTGTGGGGGATGAGGGTCGGTTATGTAAATGGACATCGTATTTTTTGAAAATTTCAGATATGCCATTATTGTACGGAGTATATATCGGGTAAAAGTGGTAAAGTGGGGGCGGTTATGCTTTTAGCGGGGCGGATCGAATATGCTACGCCCTTTGCTTGTTTTACATATTTTGAATTATTTGGTACGTTTGATGAAAATTAAAATCAAATTCTTAATCGATTTTGATAGAAATTATCGTGCGTTTGATTGTTAATATTTTTCATAAAATATTGGGAGGTGTCCCCCAATAGGGGGCCGCTACTTGTCATTTCGATAAAAAATTAGGTACATGTAGCATAACTGTTTATTTTTTAGGGAATTCACTCATCTTTCTCTCTCTTATATATTCACTCTCTTTATCTATCCAACAATAAAAAATTAGACAAGTATAATATTTTTTAAGTTGAAAACTAAATCGATCAAACACATTTAATTAATAATTTTCACACAAATAAATTCTAAATAATTAAATTGTCTGAAATTTATTTTCTTTCCATGCTTACAACCAAACTCACCCTTAATGATATACGTGGTTAAAAAGTTGTGAATTCTATGAAATATGTAATTAGGGTTAATTGTTTACTTTGATTTTAATAAAAATTTAGATTATAATTTCTATCAAACACGAACTTAGCCTTTGAGCCATATAGCGGAAAATGTAGGATATATTTCCTCCCTACGGCGAAGAAGTTTGTATAAGATATTAACAAAAGATTTTAAGTTATTTCTTTTTTTTTTTTACTTCAGTTTGTAGCACATGACATGAAGTTACACAATGGATCACAAAGATGGTGCACGGTCCAATTTAGATCAAGCGGAACTAAGCCCATGTTTGATCCCATTAAAATTATAATTCATTTTTCTTTCTCTTCTTATCAATCACATTCCCCAATAAAATAATATTATATCTAATTTCAAAACTTTTTCTTCTTTTTAAATACACATTTTTTCAAAAAAAAAAAAAATAATAATAATATTCCAACTATTAAAATTTCACATAATGGGGCCAAACGGGTTATAAAGTAGCGAGCATTTAGGGTTAGTCCTACTATTCGATCTTCTATACAAGGAAAACACATTTTTGATATACTAGTAACACATTTAGCCTTTATTTGATATAAATTTAAGTCTTAAGTCAAAGTCAATATTTACTTTTAAACACATATTTTATGGGTCTCACAACTTTTCAATCACAAATTTTATCAATTTTCATCCAAATTTGTTGAAAATTTGATTTCAATTCCCACCAAACAAGACCTTAATTAAGTATGTGAAGATATTAGCCGGGGTATTCCATATAGCAAGACTAAAAATAGAATTGCAATAGTATATCGAGAAATAAAGTGATTATTAAAGCTATAACTAGCGCATTGGATACTCACATGATGCTCAAAATGGAGAAACAAGATCACAAAATTTTTCATTTTTTGGACGTTATTGAAGAGATTCTCATGTTTGGATGGCTTGCTTGATAATAAGTCCATTTTGTGGCTAAAATGATGTCACTCAAAACTTAAAAATTACCTAGAAATACATTTTTACCTAAAAAATGGAGACCCACATGATAAGGCCATGTTTGACAACAATTATTTCAATTTTTTTTTTCTACATATTCATTTTTTCCACACACAAAATAAATATTTTGCACGTAAATTCGAAAATTTTCTCTACTTTTTAATCACACATTCTCCTAAAAATCATTATTTAAAACTTTATTTTTCTCAACTAATGATTGTCAAGCATGGGCTAAATTCGTGGGTTTTTTGCTAAACATGAATAAAGTTATTTGTACGATGATTGTTGACAATCCATGTGCTGTCAGATCTGTATAGTTGATTTAAAAAATAATTTTTAAAATAGATGGTATAAATTTTGTCAACTCATAATTATCAACAAAAATTATCAATCATAGTTGTACATGTAACATGATTGTGTGTAAGATATTCTTATGATGAAGCCAGGAAGACCATACGACCGTCCAGTTGTACCATTAAACAAAATTTGCTTCCACAGCTGAAAAGAACCTTTAAAATTGTAATGTAATAACCTTAAACGTCAGGCACATGACCAAACTACACTGCACCTTACACGTCTCACTTTATTATTTGTAGTTACTTAATTAATTGAAGATTCAAGCAATTATAATTTGACACGTCATCTTACTTATTCGAACTCAATTACACTGCACCTTACACGTCTCACTGTATTATTTGTAGTTACTTAATTAATTGAAGATTCAAGCAATTATAATTTGACACGTCATCTTACTTATTCGAACTCAATGCTAGGTGACTACGACTGACTTGCTTATGGCGATTGATTTCTTGTATCAGAAAAAATAGATCCGTCATCAGAGGTTGGAGAGAGAGAGAGAGATTCGTTTGAAGACGAGTAAGCTCTTTCGGCTACATGTAGGCCATCTCGACTCCGCACCAAAATTTGACATCGATTTTGCATTTTACATTAAACTAAACATTGTCTTCAATTCATTACATCAAATGAACGGTGTTTAATCATTTTCTTATTTTTTTTTTATTCTTAACTATTTATTTATTTGAAAATTTATTTGCTTATTTATTTGACAACTACATAAATTACTAAATAAATAATTATGTTAAATTAGCGAAAATATTAAATTCATTAAAAATATAGTAAAATTATTAAAACACCACAAATAAGAAAATATTAAATCATGTCATTAAAATTTAGTATGCATTTCGAATTCCAATATCATGATATTAATAGGTCGAAATAATGTTGCAATTTAATTTTCGGAATTCGTATATTCATCCCACAAATGATCAATTAATGC